GTTTGATAAGTATATGAATGAGTAAGGGCTAGTCTTTAGGTATTTTTTTTAATTATTTTAATTCAGTTTAGAGGATGGAACAGGCAAGATGGACCAATAAGTCCCATGTTGTCCCTAAAACATTGTTATGTTATTGGATAGGTCTGCTAAATGACAGAAGATTCAATCAAAGTATTGAATACAGAGTAGAACTCAATTTCTTACTTAAATTAGTCATGTAAAATGGAATGATAAGACTGAACACAAAATCAAATACAAAGGAACAATCTTTATTCAAGAATAAACACAGTGAGTGGAGTTTACTTTTGTCAAACCATGGCTTTCACTGGATCACTGGTTTGAATACTGATGACCAAGTTTTACTTGATTACCTTCATTGATGTTTCAGAAAAGACTGCCAAATCCAAGGCTTCTTAGTATTCTTACATTTACCCAGAGCAACATGCACTCCCATGTGTCTAGTCATTCTTATTACAACGTAGATGGGGCTGTAACTCCCAAATTTCACCTGGATAACCACTGAAGGACACTGCTGTTAACATTCTTATACAACATTTTATTAAGTAATGTTCTTCCTGGGTGGTAACAGGTATTACATACTTCAAAAACAATAAAGGAATAGAGGTAATAATTTGAAACAAGATCAACTTAACTTTTCTCAATGATATGTTATGTGTAACCTGCACATATTCAGAACAAACAAAAATTCAGAATAAACATTAAAACACTATAAGAAGATAGAAGCATGTGGTATATTCGTATACCACACATGCATGTTTTACCTGTTTCCATTAGCATGGAGGGGGAGGGGGGTTAAAAGGTGCCGGGGCCCCGGGCATCCATATCGAGAGGGCATCCGACGCAAAGAGTCTAATCGAATAGTAGAACCCTTTCCGCTCTTCCCCAAGGTCTTAGGTACAAGGCCCCGGGCATCATAGAACCTCTGCATACCACTGCCTGTTTCTCACATAAATAAATTCTCCAGTAGCATTTACTGCGAACATATATTTGTTCAAACAAAATGGTTTGACTTTGTAGGATAAGTTTTTGAGTATGTTTTTTGATTACACATTTTACTGTTATGAATATTTGTATGTTTATTTTTTGTGAAGATGAACTATCTTGAATAAATATCTTTTTATTCATATTTTTTTCCAGCACTGATGTCTTTATTCATGTTGTTCGGAGGGAGGACAACTCTGTCATGGAAGTAGATGAAGCATTGAAGTATGAATTATAATGATAAAAGCATAAATTAATTAATTAAATACACACATTGAAATAATTCATTATTTTGTTCGTAATTTTTACTTAAATCAGGGGTCCCCAAAATGGCAGAGTATGATAAGGTTTCAAGGGGTTACAGCATGTATTCCTTCTCAAATGAGCCTGATATCTGAAAATAGAAGTGTCTATACTAACAGCATATATCATTAAAATAGCTAAAGAAATGATTGTAAAGTCCAGAATTTGGTAACCACAATAATGAAAGAAACAATCTGCATGAAAACAAGCACATTTTATTCTTACTGAAGAACAGTATGAAAATAACTTAAAAGGATGGTCTGTGAATAAAAAAGCAACAGACAAAGACATGGCTCTATTATTAAAGCTGGGGCAACTCCCCCTGAAAGTGTCAAACCTACTGTGACAATTCTAATTCTCTATATATAGATGACCGGGGACAAACTGAATATCAGTAATCTCTTCTTCATGTAACAGTTGTAATGTAGCCTCACCCTCAGGATTATGTGAAATGACAATAAAATTATCACATTGTCAGGTTTTGTTTTTGTGGATTCTTCTACAGTAGGTTTCTGTGACTTGTTGATGGTAAAGGCAATGATGAATGAACAGCACCCACTACACTTGTTTCAATATCAGCATATATATGTTCTGAATTACATACACACAAGTACATCAGCATAGACATAAACCTTGTCCAAAGCTTTGCTGCAATCTTCTGATCTCTTTATACTCTGCTGGCCCACTTTATACCTCTCGTCCCATCGTCAGATCACCACTACCCCTTCAGTATCAGTTCTCAGGTGCCACTCTACACTCTCGACAATAATGAGTCACAAATGCATAATACAACATCATAAACTAAAGTGAAAACGAAATAATATTACAATGATCATAAAACACAACAAATCAATGACAGTCTTTTACATCATGACATAAGGCCCTCTTCGGGATAAATATTTACAATATTTTCTTTTCCACGATATACAAAGACTTCGTTCACATACACAGTCTTCTCCAACATTTGCGGTCCCTTTAATAGCTTCTTTGTGCAACCTGTAGTTCTGAAGGTACAACGCTCACCTCGTGATCCTCGTGCTGTCTGTCTTGCACTTCTGAATGTATGCAAGTAGTTGACGGTCTGTCTGGATGATGAACTTCTTCCCATATTGATAATTCTGGAACTTCCAAATGGCAAATATGATGGCCAGACACTTGTTCAATCACAGAGTAATTTTTACTAATTGACAGCTTTTGACTTATGTATGTACTGGAAACAGTCCATCTTCATGTTCTTGTAAATGTACTGCCCCAATTCCAATGTCTAAAGCATCAGCCTGGACAATAAAAGGTTTGTCGAAGTCTGACATTCTAAGAATTGGTACGAAGAGACTTAAACAGCTGTTCCAGCGAGTGAGAACAGCAGGCCTCACCATCAGACCATCCAAGTGCTACATCAGATATGCTGTGCTAGAGTTTGTTAGACATATAGTTAGGAACCAACAGATAGACATGGAAAAGAAAAAGATAATCTGCATAAATGATACACCAGCTCCAACGAATAAGCAGCCAGTCAGATCCTTCCTGGGGTCAGTGGGATACTAAAGGAAATGCATCCCAAATTATGCTAAAATTACTGCAACATTGACTGACCTGATCAAGAAAGGCATACTCAACAAGGTGTAGTGGGAACAACCACACCAGGTGACATTCCAGAAATTGAAGAACACGTTAAGAAGCTCTGTATGTCAAAAACATCATCCACATAGTGCTCGATGTTGATGGTGATGCAAAGCGTCCCTCTCATCATACAGTTGAATGTAGCTGCTGAGTTCACTAATCCAAATGGCATTTGCTTAAATTGGTAACATCCATTTGGTGTCTTCTCTTTAGATTCCATCTCTATTGGGATTTGCCTATAACCTTTACCGAGGTCGATTTTTGAAAAGAACCTGGCACCATCTAGTTTTGCCATGATAGCCTCTGGATTGCCCTTAGGTTCTGCATCAAACTTTGTCATGAGATTCAGCTTCATATCGTTTCAGTAAAGCTACTTTTATTTTATCATAATCCATGACATCTTCTGACATCATGCCTGCATATACTTGTACGCCTTTTCCTGTGAGAAATGGGCTGAGACAGACTGCCCAGTCGCCTTTGTCCCAGTTCTGGCTTTGGGTGAATTTTTCATATCTCTCCAGGAAATCATCCATGTCATCTTTATGTTCATCAAATTTGGGCAGCTTGCGTCAACTAGCCCTGTCTCCATTGTCATTCTTGGGTCCTTCAGTTGGGTGAGTTTTGCTATCTCAATTTGTGCTCTTATTCTCTCTATTTCTAGTCTCTCCTCTCTCTCTTTTTCTTCTTTCTCAGTTTGTATTCTCATTCTTTCTATTTCTAGTTTCTCCTTTCTCGTATTTTCTTCTTTTAGTATTTCTTCTTTCTCAATTTGTCTCTTCTGTTGCCATTCTTCTCTTTCCAGTTCTTGTTGTTGTTTAACAAACTCTCGTAATTCACTGTCTTTTAACTCAAATTGAGATCCTCTTTCTACCTATTTATCAAAATCTGTTGACATGGTTATGTAGCATAATTTTAATCTCTATACTATTTTTGTTAATACTACAGTTGGGCATAAATAGATAGGCCTACTTATTTCCGTTGTTGTTCACGTTTTCTTCTATCGCCATTTATCACTGTATAATCCTGGCTGTGGCTCGCCAATTGTCAGATTTTAAAAAAATAACATATATATATATATAAGTTCTTTTTTCCTGCCAATTGTCAAAATAAATGGCTTTTATTTATATTTCTTAATAGTATAAATATATAATATGTTGTTGTTGGGCTTAGGATTCTTCCACAGTAGGTGTCTGTGACTTGTTAGTGATGAATTCAATGATGAATAAACAGCACACACTTGACTTGTTTTCAAATTATATATATATATATATATATTCAGAACAACAAATTCTTCACACTATAGACATTACAGGCATATCATAAACACTATTTATATATAGTTCTCTTCTTGTTATCAAAAGTCTACTTAGGCCTATTCAATTACTTTAGAATTTCAGTTGACAAGTTAAACTATCTTCTCTATATTATTATCGTACTAGTATTCTGCATGTGATTCACTTGCAAGTTTAAGTTGTGGCACAAGTTACCATAATTCGTTTGGTCTTCTTTCTTCTGAAGATCCTCTGTCCCTTTTGTCAAAGTGTACCCAGGCTGATTCAATTACTTTAGTTCCGTGCTTTGACAGAATGAAATCATCCTTCTTACCTTTTGCTATTATCTGTCTATTGTTGTCTGTCTGCTGCTTCCCACTCATCTTATGCTATTTATATATCGTTTTTACATAGTCGTCTGGCCACTTTCTATATATTTGCGATGCCAATTAGTTATTAACAAAACCTTTTACAATCATCTGCTTGTAACTCTTATTATAACAAATCTTAAAAATAATAAAATATTCACTCATTATAAATTAATCACTAATATTTAAACCAAACAGTCTTTTATATCATGGCATATACAAACATGGTCTTTTGGTGTGTACACAATGATTAAACTGTTATTTATTCATTTGGAATAAGTCTTTATATAAAGCAGTTTACAATGTTTCTGAGCACCAAAATGTATTTGTACACATATGCAACATTACAATGTAACAATATATGCAGCATCCTCTTATTAGTGCATATGCACACAAACATGCACTACGAACATGGCAAACAGTGAAAATAGAAAGACAAAAATATTGAAAAAAAACCCTCAATCAAAGTAATAACAATGATTTAATGGTTTTTCAAACTTGTAATGAAAATAGAGACATTAAAATGCAACACTTCAAGTAACATATCAGCCCATGACACATACTTGCTGCAAACTAGTTGCCTAGCCAAAACAATTGTGTGTTAGGGGGTAGTTATAAGTACAATTTTTGAATTACTAAGCACTTCAAGCAGTGTAAGGCAATCCCTACAACTAAAAAATGCATTGTGTTACTTCGTCACAATCCAGTTACAGTCACACATTTTTTTGCTTTAATAAAATGATAAAAGATGCTAAAAAAAGGTCATTCTCTATCCTGGTCCATTATCTCACATGCTAGCTTTTGTGTATTATATGATAAATTATAGTTGACATATGTTTTGCAGAATCTGGTCTCAACCCCCTTAAGCCTCTGTATTAGTCTCTATAGGAGATTGGAATTTCGGTGCACTGCATTAACTACCTTAGAGAGTGCTTCTTGTCATGAGAAGCTTTGAACAAAGGAAGTTTAGTAATCTGTTTTAGGATGTGATAAGCATCGTGTTTTAAACTACAGTATATTGTATTAGAGTTTTGTAATGTTTTTTTTTCTGCTTGTGTATGTGCATACACTTTATTGTTGTAATGATTATTGTGATATTTATATATTTGTTTGCCATAATTGAAAATAAGATGAGATTAAAAGTTAGCTAGAAAATTAAGCTTTTGTTAGTGATTAAAACTAAGAAAAAAAAACAACATGCATTTAGTTGAAAAATTATTGAAAGAACATTTTTTCCATTTCTTATAGAAAAATCACTTCCAAAGTATTTAAAAGAACTTCAAAGTCTCCCTCAGTGTAGTATTGTAATATGATTAGTGAACCCCAGTTTTCTTGAAACTATGTCCTTTATTCCAAAATGGTGGTACCAGTTAAGTAAAACTGTTAAGAAAAGGAGGATTTTGTTAAAATCAAGTAAAACAGTTGTTACAGCCCGGGAGCTTTAAATTGTTTTACCATTAAATAGTGGTGTAACTGTTTAATTCAGTTTGTGTAAGTTTTTTATATTAACGGGTTTGTTAATAGTGGTACTGATGGTGATATTTCTTCACACGTCAGAAAGTTTTACTAAATTAAAGAACATAAAACCTGAGCGATATTCCAGGTGTGAACAAATGTACACAACTATAAATTACAGATGTAATGAAAGGCTCTACTTATGATAACCAGGTAGTTTAAGAGATTTTACAATTGACCCAATTGCAGTATCTAATAGGTAATTCTTTTTAGCTTAATTGGTAAAAGTAATTATGTTTTGATTTTGTAGGGAGAAAGGTATCCACCGAGATATTATAGAACAGAAAACAAGACTGCTGAAATAAATTATTTTTATACATAGATGGTGAATTATTCATAATAACTTTAGAAAACAGGTAAACAGATTTGGCTGAAGAGTTAGAGAAAATGGATGTATAATAATGTATCTAAACTGACCTTACAATTTCCAAACTCACCTTTAATATTTCAGAAAAAATACTTTTAGGATCAGGCTATATATACGTATTGAGATACAAATATAGCTACTCATTTTAAAAACATCAACAAGTTTTCCATTACATATAACACTAAACCGTTAATGTCCCAACATTATGTCCCCATTTATTCCAAACAAACAAAACTGAGCAGAATGTCCCCATTAAACTCACATTTAATATTTCAGAAAAAATACTTTTAGGATCAGGCCTTTTACACCGATGAAAAAGTTAAAATATTATGATAAATTTGTTTTTCATTGTAAGTTTACTTAATTTCTTGGTTGAATTTATGTTTACATTGCATACTGTTGTTTTCGTCTTTTTTCTGTTTCCAGGTTATTTGACAAATACTGGGGAAAAGTTCTTGAATTAAGGAAAGAAGATTTTTATATCGTTTTAATAGATGTAAGTCTTGCACAGTATGGAAATATTGTTATTACACTTAATTATCTTGTTAGAACAAATAAACTCTTTAAAGTTGTAGATAGTGTTGAGAATTGTTATCAAATGTTATATTTGTTTTAATTAAGGTCTCATGATAACTAAAATATTTTTAAAAAACAAAATCCCAGTTCTTAGGTTGTGGTTATTAAAGTCACATAATAAAAATTAACGAATAATAATACCTGAATTTTTAAATTGTTTAAAAAGAAAAGTTGTAATTATTGTTGCAATTAAGATATATCATTCAAATGTAGTGATTTGAAAACACTTGTCATGGTGGTAATATAAACTGTTTAGTTTGTTGAAAACTTGCATCTTCTGCTCCTGCCTGGTATGTGCGTGTTAGAAAACAGATAAATAAATTGACAAACAGATGGCCAGTACCATATACTGCATGACTAATATACGAGGTCAAGGATAGTTCCAAAGGAACTTGGAAGGTAAAAAGTATAAGATAGATAAGTAATTTTGTGATATAAAACTCGTACATGTTTCACTTTCTTTAAAGTTTATAGTAGTTTTTTTTTTTTTACTTTGCAGGTTACATTTATTCATATTTTTTAAATTAAATAAAAATTAAATACTATTTTTATGCTCTATAACAATAAAATATTAATTTCTTTGTTGATTTTCTTTTAATTTTTTTTATTTTCACAACTTTATTTCATGTATTCCTATAATTGTACTAGAATGTAATGTTAAGATTGATATATTTGTGTTTTGAAAAATAGTCCAACTTTATATAGATGTTGTGGAGGAACATTTTACTAGCAAGCCATTGGTTAGTTTATCCCAACACTTTCTGCCATTCTGGGGATATTACATAGAACTCTCTACTAGTCACTAAATTGGTCAGTTTTATCAACCACAATAAAAAATTTTTTATTTTCTGAAAATTCTTTTAACCTTTATTTACATGACAGGAAATATCACTCTTCAAAAGCCCTACAGCATTTTGAGTTATTCTAACAAAGAATTTGATATTTCTAATTCCCAATTGTGTTTTTAATTCAGTATTACATTTGAAATTACATAAAAAAATTTCTTGATAACCAACTACAGTTGTGCCAATCAATGGCTATTTTTTATAAATTTCACACTAAACTTTTATATTACCTACTACATTGCTAGTTTATTTACTGAAATTATAAACTTTTCAATAAACTTCAAGATTCCCTACTGATATAATAGATTATTACTGGTTTTCTTAATTTTTTTACTCAATTATTTAATTAGACTACCCAATGTAATTTTCAATAAGTTAATAACTTTATTAATTATCTATTAAATTGTTAGTTACCAAGTACAGATCATTGATTTATTATACTGTATTGTATAACTATTTATAATGTTTTATCTGTACTTAAATAGAAAACATACTCAATTAAGTAAAAGACTTCCCATAATTTAAGTGGAGTTTCCACTTCATGAATAAGTCATACTGGGGGTTCGTTTAAGGTTTATAGTATAAAATGTTTGTGTGTGTAATTCTTATAGCCAATTAGATACATGTTCAAGATTTCTTAATGGTTGTAAAAATGGAAAGAAAGCTTTATATTAAAAGAAAAAAACTAGGTAGTTTAGTAATTTCTTCAATTTTTGTAGGAGAATACAAAAATAGAAATACTTAAATGTTAAGGCTGTATATTTCCAAAGTATGCTTACTCTGTAGAGAAGAATGTCATTTGTTAATAGATCCATAAAAAAAAATTACCTGTTAAAGGCTCAGTTATAGAGTTTGATATCTGATTTATTGTAATGAGATGAGTTCATATGCCAGTGAATTTTCTTCATATTACAAGTATAAATGGATTGCACTGTTTTTACATGATTCTACACATTAATTCAATATATGAATCAAAAGTTGTTGGTTTTTCCCAACCTTTTTCCAGCTAAGGATCAACTATTTCCAATCCAATAATTTCATGAATCATTTCATACAATATTAGTTTTTAAAGTACTTTTATGTTACTCTATAGGACAGTATACTCAGTAGCTAAATTTCAGAAGACACTTTTTTTTTTCAACTGTCTTGCTGAGTGACTGAAATCTCCCTGTTGACCAGTGGTTGAGAACCAATTATCTATAATTTTATAAGTGCTTCACTATTCCATACATTATCAAATGAATTAAAGAAATCATTTTAGATGTTAACAGGAGTTAAAACTTTAGAACTGGAGTTTATAAAAATATACCAATCTGTAGTTGGCCAGGTAGTTAGGGCACTCAACTCGCAATCTGAGAGTCGTGGGTTTGATTCCCCGTCACACCAAACATGCTCGCCCTTTCAGCCGTGGGGGCATTATAATGTGATGATCAAGCCCTTTATTAGTTGGTAAAAGAGTAGCCCAAGAGTTGGTGGTGGGTGGTGATAACTAGCTGCCTTTCCTCTATTCTTACACTGCTAAATTAGGGACGGCTAGTGCAGGTAGCCCTTGTGTAGCTTTGCACAAAATCCATAACAAACAAACAAACAATCTGTAGTTATTACTGTTAATATTCAAATGTTTTGAATTATCTTCAAAGAAAATAAATTTCTCTTATTGTTTTTTTTTCTCATCATATTAAAAATTGTGTTTTTTTTTTTATTCATTGGTTTAATTTATCTTCAGAAAATTGGAAAGGATGACACAAGTGATTCCTGGGAAAGAAAGCTGAAATTTATCTTATTTGGAGTTTTGGCAGGCCTTGCATTAGCTTTCATTGTCTTGTTATCAGTTTCCTGCATGAAAATAATTTCGTAAGTTTTACCCAAAAATAATTTAATAGATTTTTACTCGTTATTTGTGTTCAGTGAATTTTCTGGTCTGTGGTATTTTGCTTTTAAAAAAAACTTCAAGTGTTCCTAAGATTCATTACCCATTTTCAGTACATAATCATGTCCTTGTTTCTTAGTCTCAAAAAGCATTTCATTACACATGTTTAATGTGTTGTCTTGTCGTGTCCTTGGATTCTTGTTGCCATTATTCCCCTGATTCATTATCTATGTTGAGTGCATCATCATGTTCTTGTTTCACTGCTTCAAAAAAGCATTGCAAGTGTTACAGTGATATATTAGCTATGCTTATTATATTATCATGTCCTCAGATTGTTAACACAGTGTGAAAATTACTTTATTTAATCCAAAGTGTGGATTCAGTATGCAAATTTTACATATACCTTTTCCATTATATGTGTATAAACACACATAATGGAACATATTAACAGATTATAAGCTAACAAGTACAAAAATACACACTTCGAATCATATCTAATCTAATATTATACAGGTTGAACCAAAACTAACATATTCTACTTTTTTGTATATAGAGCTTTACAAAATTTATTACTTGAGTTAAGAGAAATATGATCTGTTATAAACACAGATTTGTAGTGTGAGAACAAATAGTATGTATTTTTAAATTGTTTGCTGAAATAAACAAACATTGTAAGCTAACCTTAGGCTTACTTTGTAGGTCTTAAAGTGTTCAATATCTGCTATAAATACAGTTATGGAAGTTTTTATTCAAAGATCAGTGATTCAGGATGCGAGTAAGATTATGTTACTCCTCACAGATTTCATTCGCAGTGTTATATTATTTTTGTCATTTAAACCAATGACATTGAAATCTCATTTAGTTTTGTTATAGATACTGTGCATGTATTAAGTAAATTTTAAAAATTATGCTAAAAACAAATCAGTATAAAGTTGTTACTGCAGAATTAAATGTAGCTACTGGTATTATAGCTAACTAAACTTTCTAGTCAAAGATGAAAATTTTTCAATTGGCAAAAATATATTAATTTTCTCAAATGAGGAGATATAAACAATAAAGTATTTTCTTAATGCAGTGTATATGAACTAATAATAGACAAATATTAGAAATTAAGTTTCCAGACATATCTCTCATATAAAGATATGTACCATTGGTAACTAACTTCAATCTTGGAGCCTTCATTAGGCCATAAAATCACAATAAATCCGAATATTAATTTAAAAGTTACCTTTCCAACACATGTTTAATAAAACAGCAAACAAGCATGTATTTTATTACACAGAATAAATAATAAATATATCTTGAGATTCCTAATTACGAAGATTTTCACACATTTCTCATGTTAGATTATTTATTATTACCTAGCTTTCAACTCCAATGCTTTTTTTTACAGCTTGATGAAGGCTCCAGTGGGAGTAAATATCCTGGTAATAATAAATATTATAACATAAGAAATATGTGAAAATATTCTTAATTACGAACCTCGAGACAAATTTAGTAGGCAAGTATTTTGTGTGTGATAAATACATGATTGTTTGCTGTTTTATTAGCCATTTGTTTGAAATGTAACTTTTAAATCTATATTTGGATTTATTATTTCCTCCATGTGAAGAAATTTTCATTCTTATTTCACAAATTGTTTTTATGGTACAACAAATGTAAAGTTATTGAAAGAATGATAAAATACTTTAAACAGATATATATACACTACACACGTACAGTTGAATGTCACTAAGTTGAACTTAGATATCATGAATACATGGATGATGTCAGTGTCAGAATCAGTCCTGTCTATTTCCTTTAACATTTATTGTATCTGTTATTCTACATTTATCAAAATCCCATATTCTACTTTTATTATGGATCAAAACTGTGGTCAAGGTTTTAGACTGTGTCTGATATTCCACATTTATAATGGATTAAAACTAAGGTCAAGTTCCACATTGTGTCTGACATTCTACATTTACTATGAATCAAAAGTAAAATCAAGGTTACTTCAATCCTTTGATATTTTGATATCTTGAATGACATCCCCAATTAAATTTAGTGATATTCAAATATATTACTGGTATTACTCCATTTCTATTGAGACTTCTTTCTACTAAAGGTTTGGAAATAGATAAATACTCTGAGTGTTGACATAACTGTAATTTAATGTAAAGAAACATGATTGTAAGTTGATATGAAGTATTCTATATTATGTAACAACAAATCAGTAGGAAGAATTTAGTTGGGTTCTTTCTTTTCATGTATTTTTTGAACAAATATGCATTTTTATTTACTTATTTTACTTCATATTTCCATTTTTTTTTATCTATGTAGCCTCTCAAGAAGACTTAGAGCTGCCACTGCAACCTCTTTTGGTAATGCATCTTTGATTTATGTAGTGTAATTTCACATAATTTTTGTACCTTAACATTCAACTGTACTTACATGGGTATGTTTGTTGTTACTTGAAGATATTTTCACAAAAATTAAATCAACTAAGACTTTCAGCATTTATATGTACAATTACCGCATTAGTATAATTATCCTTTTGTTTGAATTTTAAAAGTAACAAGTGTGATTTAGCATTTAAAGCTGTGCTTGTTTTCATGGTTCTATTTGAAGTGATTTTGATTATTGCTATAGGCTTCCACTTTATATTTGGTTTTAAATCTTTAAAAAATAAAACAAGAATGTGAATTTTTTTTAGTCAACCTGAATTGTAGCTAATAGATTATTTGTCAGTAAAATCTATTTAAGATTCTAATGGTAAGTATAATACTATTTCTAAATCTCCAGGATCCCAGGATTCTGGTCTCAATCGAGTTGGTGTGAATGATCCTCCAAATACTAATAAGCATGCTGTGGAAGGGTAAGTAATTCCTTGTTGAAACGTTAATTTATCATCAGAAATGTTTGATACATTGGTGCAAGATAATGATGACTAAATTTCTTGTTATTAGTGTGATTAGTTACACATTATGTGCAAGATAATTTTTTTACATATATGTTTTAACAGTTTTTTACACAAAAACACTTGAGATCTTCAAGTGGGTATTATGAACACTTGAACATTTTAACTAGCTACAACAAAAACGATAATATTTTGACTATTATGCAAAGGCTTGAATATTATATCTATGTTAAAACAAGCAGTGTAATGTTTACACTAAGAGCTTCAAATATAATGTTTTAAGTAGGTAAATAAAGGTTTGAATATTTGAACTATTTTTAGCAAACTTGAATATTTGTACTGTGCTCAAGAAATATTTGAATATTTGATCTGTGTTAAACAACTACTTGAATATTTATACTTTATTCATCAACTACTTGAATACTTATACTTTATTCATCAACTACTTGAATATTTTATACTGTGTTAAAAACATACTTAAATATGTATACTTTGTTCATCAACTACTTGAATCTTGAACTTCGTTTCTCGAGACTACCCCTATCATATCACCCTACTAGTTTACCATACTCTACAAATGATGACTGTGATAGCAGATCAGTTGTCTCAACTCATACAGATTCTCCAAACAGAGAAATGACTCTTGACTTTTGAAATGACTCTCATTTTGCAACTCTGATTGGTGGGTTGGCCAGTCATTGGAACACCCAACTACTGGTAATTTGGTCTCCAATACCTCACCTTCAGGCTTTGACAGGATGGGATTACAACTCTAAGCCTTTCCTTCAATTCATATGTTACCCTAGGTATTAACTATGATTTGTTCCAACTCATTGTTGAGACCTATTGGCAGCTACACCTTGGTTTCTGCTTCAGCAGTACCTTCAGGAGTGTCCACCTCTTCTGCTTCTTAGGCCATCTCTATGGAAGTAGCCATGATCTGACATAGTACACTCAGCTATTTAGAAGTTCAAGTTTCAGGCATAGAAGTTATGCAGTTTTTCACACGGCATCGAGGTTTATCCTCAAAACTCCACAACATACATTACCCCCCCCCCTTCCCCGATTCTAGTAGTGGAGCTAGGGAGTCCTTAACACACCCGATTTTTAATCACTGAGGTGGTGGACAGAGGCTTTTCCTCCAGAGTGAATTCCCTCACTCTTGGAAAAGAGGGTGACATTGGAGGCTCTCCTACATGGGTCTCTGGATTTTTTTTTCCCCAGATGTCAGCAAAAGAGGCACCAGTCTATGTGGGAGCCTATTCATAATACTGGTTCAGATTTGATGCTCATCTATCCAATTGGGTTGAGTGTGGCCCTTCTTTTTTTTGTTCAATATTGGTTCAGTAGATTGTTCATGGAAGAGGGTCCATTTTCCTACATATGTTAATAAACGAAATGTTTTTGTATATGTATACATATATTTGTATTAAACATAACAGTTACTCCACTGAATGGAAAAAATGTTGAATTTATTCTTTTTTCTAAATAACATAACATTTACTGGGTTTGCGCTTAGAGCAAACATTTTTAGGCAATACGCTAAATAAATTAGAAATTTATTTGCATTATTTTAATATTCATGTGCGTCTTCCCCCAGTGGTGCAGCATTATGTTTTCAAACTTACAACACAGACATACCCATGGTGGGCAAAGCACAGATAATCCATTGTGTAACTTTGTGCTTAACTACAAACAAGCAAATAATATTCATGCATTTTCGAACATTTGTAATTACTAGTTTCAACAAATAGAGATTTTAATCTCTTAACTTTTTCTTTATTATATGATACATTTACTTATAGTTGATTATATTTAATAGATATAAATACATAAATATTAATTTTTTTCAGATCTAATCCTATGTGGAATCAGCAGGAAGACCTGAACTATAAACCAGATGATGTCAGGTGAGTTTTGATTTTTTTTTGAGGATGGTTTATGGTCGCTATGTACATTTTATTAGCTTTGTAGTTAAATAGGTGTATAATTTTATTTGATCATCAGATTATCAGTTGGTACACTTGTATGTTTAATCATCATCTAATAAAATGTATTCAGTCATCACTTTTTTAGATAGAAAAATAACATTTGAATTTGACTTCCATATTTCTTTGTCTCCTGAAACAACATTCAGTACTTGTTCTGTTAGCTACATAGGTCTCCAGAGAAAACTTGTGCTCATGCAATTCAACATGTTTCATCAACATCAGATTCAATAGTTGTCATCCTAAATATGATTAATCAACATTTGATGCAGTAGTTGTCACTCAATATGGATCATTAGCTTAATTTTCATTTTGTCTTTTCACAAAAACTGCTCCAATTACTGATTCAATAAAAGTGCCTATTTAATGTAGTTTTTTATACATTTAAGATCATTGTTCTTATAAAGAACATGAGTAACTACTACTTTAAAACTGTACTATTTTGAAAAATTAATATGTGTTTTCATTTATTACTTGTCCATGTGGATAACTCAGATTTAGAAGCACACCAAAGAGATGAAAATGGGTTTGGTTTTAAGTCTTTTGTAGAGATTGGTCCATACATTTATTAAATAGCCTAAAATGTTGTATAAAAAGAGAAAAAAAAATGTATGTATTCTGAAACAAAAGTATTGCAGATAATGCTTCATACCACCTATTTATTTATTTTTTTCCCTGTTTTATCCATTTGCTTAAAATACATTGACTTCCTGTTATTTATGCTATTAGTAATTTGTATTTGAACAGCATGGATGGCAGCGAGGACTCTTTTAACCTGCAGGATTTTGAGAACAAAGCTGGAATAAGTGGAAAAGAAAACATTAGTTTTATGAACACCCTTTCCATGCCGCCTGCAATATTACCTTCCACTGGAAGTAAAAGCATCAATGAAAAGGAAATTGAGGCATTGGGTCTTCAAAATCCTAAACCTCAACCACTGATCAATTCGCAGAATAATAAGTTTAATGCTTTGAAAAGCTTAGAGAGCAAGTGGAGATACCAGTTGAACCAAGAAACATCTCAAGCCCCACCTTCCTATGATGCAAGCAGGAGAAGTAGTGCTTTTAATTCCAAGCAAACTTCTTTTGAGCTTTGATCTCATTAGGTCTCCAGTTCTCAAAATAAACGTAAATTACAAAACTATGTACTAAATTCTTTTTAATCTCTTAAATATGTAAGAAATCAAGTGTATTTAGGAATACTTGATTTATTTTGTTTTTCATTTATAAAAATTCAAATTTATATATTAATTCCATAGATAGGGAAGAATATTTTTCATAGTTATGACAAAACAATCTCTCCAAAGCGTATTCTTATATTGATATTATTTATGTAGATCATGCAGACAGTCATCTATATTGTTAACCTAGAAAAGAATAAGTTGAAACTTTAACCTAAAAATTATAACTTTATGTAGTTTATGGCTGTACTGAACTATGTAACTAAATTAAATTTGTCACTGCTTAATTTTCAAACCTTTAATGGAGTTATGTTGTTTATTAAGTAGGTTTATGTAAGCATAAATTGTAACCGTAAGAGAAGAAGGTGAAGATTTGAAACAATAAATAATCGTTTTATTTTATTATACATTACCAAGGAATTAAGTTAGCAAACTTATTAAAAATTTAACCACTTCAGTATCGTTTATTTGTAATTAATGACTCAATTACAGTTTTTAATCAATGTTTTTTTTACTTCATACTATAATTAGACACGAGTATTGTCAAATAATGATTTTAAAGCACAGTAGTTAAAAATAAATAACTTATGATTTAAGTAGATAATTGATACTTCCTTTATATTCTAAAGAATGTAACGCCAACTGGAAAATAGAACACATTTTCAAAATGGTAAACAGTATACAATTTGACTCAAGAACGTACATATATTAATTTCTAAAGTTTCACTTAAAAACCTTTTTTCGGCAATTTAGTTTATGTAAACAAGCTTTAAAGTGAAGAATTTATTTTTATGCAGTTACATTAAAGTGCTGCATTGAAAAAGCTTTCCAGTGAAATGTTGAAAATAAGTACACTTTCCTGGAATTGTGTTACTTTAAGATCAACTGATGGTGCATTCTGACAAAAGAAATTTTTAAAACCTTTATAATTTTTTTCATGTTACGTATGTAATTTAATTAGTATTTCACTGTGCAGGAGAATTTTCGTTAAGGATGTATAAAAAAAAAACTAAAGAACAAGTGTATTGAATAATTATTTCAATGTGTAGCAAAACTAGCAGGAATTTCATCATATATTTGTAATGAAAGTTGGCTTTACTGTTTTCATAAAATTTTGCTCATATAAATATTATTAAAATAACACAGATGTATTTTTTTCTGAAAATAAATGTAATTTGTTTCTTCAGTAGGACCTTATTAAGAATCTGGGATCTTACTATAAATTATCCAGCCATTATTCCCAAGGAACAGAAATACAAAAACTATGCACTCTTCAGTTCTACCTCATGTTTCTTCACACAGACTTGAATATTTTTAGATGATAATAGTTATCATTTAACTAATGACGAATCAACCATGGTGTTCACTGATTGGTTATTTGTACTGAGCTCAGCTTTAAATGCACATTTATCTTATGGTATCTAGTAGCTACCCAAAGGTATTACAGAATTGAGGAAAAACAAGACAGTTGTACGTTTCACAAATACAATATTTATTAACAACCTGATGATGCTTTTACTGGCGAAACCATGGTCGTGAATAAATGATGTATTTGTGAAACAAACAATTGTCTTGTTTTTTTGTAATTATGGAATTTCACCAAGTACCAATGCTTTCAAGTATCAACTCTAAGGTACCTCAGTCAAAGTTTTACTATCAAAATAATAATGATGGAATTATTTTTTGTGAACGTTATATCGTACAAGAGCCTAATGGTGTTAATACTTTCTCCACAGAAATTTTCAAAAACCTCAATACATTATATTTTCATTCAACATTAAAGCAACAAGAAAGTAAGTTGTTTATAAGCATAATTTAATGTTAATACACCATGTTATAAACGTTGCTATAACCTCATTAAATATCTCTAATTTTTAATAATAATATAACGTTTACAAATTGTATCAATGTGAGAAGAATCTGATTTTTACAGTTTCTATCAGTCTTGTGTTGTTATATATCAGATGACTCTGAAATGTATTAGTTCTTGTTTTCATTATGTTCAAATTTAAAGTTATAATAGAACAGGTTATAGTTGCAAGTTGTGGTCATTGATAGCCATATGTTTAAAGAATAAAGTTCAATAGGACATATAGCATCTTGATTACAGGTCAAAACATTGATTACAAACAATAATAACTGTTGGTCAGGAAATGTGAATTTAGTAACAAATTAGTATCAATCTGTAGGTTAAAATCCATTAGCTATAACGAATCAACTTAAACCTTGTGTTTACATTATTCTTCTACCCAAACACGTAAGATTTCTTTTGTTTTATATGTAAGAGTGACTTACAATTTTAGTCACAGAATGTAAGTGTGTTGCATATTCTGGTGATTTTCCATATGAAGAGGAGGTCAGTTAGCATCGTAGATCCAATCACATTGAAATGTTAGCTATAATTTAAAAAACATTTTTTAAGGTCATAATACCCTATCTATTACTTGAAGTTTTGCTTAACATTAATAAATATTGATTTACTTTGATCTTTCAGGTTCTTTTCATCACTAACTATAGTAAGTATCAAAATGACAAATATGTACACATGAATTCTGCCATTATGAATTGGATAAAACAATGAGAACATTATTAAATGTCATATCAATACCATGATAACGAAATTGATAGGTAAACAAAATAGAGGGGATATCACAAACAACACAAGTTATACAATTCCATTCATCTAGGATAAATTTTTGTTCAGTGTTATTCTGTACATCTACATTAATGGCTGAACTCTACTATTTTAACATTACCTTTTACTTCCAATCTCAAAATCATAAAGCTATTTTTTTTCATAATTATAAGGTGAAAGATATATAGTATGTCTATGATAGATTATTGGCTTTCAAATTCTAATTATAGCATTCTGATACGTACTTTTCTAACATGAACCTAAAAGCTATATCCAACCAAGGAAGGTGTTACATTTTCTTCAACATTCCGGGAAGAATTTAACATACATTCATCAAGTAGTTGTTAAATAAAATTTGGAATATAAGTCTAAAAACATGATAAACAGTGACAGATAACATACCCTCTGACCCCTCTTTATCTATAGCAATTTGCAATATCTAAGTGAAAGAATAATCGTTTTGAAAATGTAAAATAGATGAAAATAATTAAACCATTTGTCTACTATTTTAAGTTTATGCAAATTTCGAATTTAATTTCAAGGCTATTGACCTTTCATTTGATCAGTTTTAAGCAATAGGAGAGGTGTAACAAGAGGGTCAAAAGATCTATTGTCTGGATAGGATAGTCAATTTAGTTATGGATTGGATGTGCTTGATATGTTTTCTGAAGAATCGTTCTTTGATCATATTAGATCGTATCACTTTTGGTAATGCCCCTTATGTGGTTTTTATGGTAATTTATTCTCTCAATTTGACTAATCGCATACTATCTTCATTTATAGGTAAATCCATTATTTGAATGAGGTAAATATTATAACACAGCCAATAATTTAAGTTACTTATACAATTATACCCCTCTTTATGTATAAAAAATTTATTAATATCACTTATTCATTAGTTACGTATTTTTAACTTCTCTAATAGATATATATCGTATAACATGCAATTATTTTCCAGAAAAGTTTTTAATATTTATCTTGCATATTTTAATTTTTATAAATAAAACCATTACTTGAATGAGAAACACATCATTACTCCATTGCAGATTGTGTTTCTTATTATATAAGTATCAATTTATACACAATTAATGTACTTAGCATAGGATTGTAGTTTTCGCTTATATATTTAATTTGCATGACATACATTTTACAGTTTCTAATGTTTTATATGCAAAACATTTTTTAATATCGTTAATTCACTGATTCTATAGTTTATGTTTCTATAATCAATATATTGTTTACCATACTGTTACGTCTACAGTCCTTAATTAACTTTCGTAGCTTCGTTCCGACGAAACTTTAGCGACACAAGTCCTTACTTAAAAAAACTGG